TGTGTGTGTGTGCATGTGTGGCCAGCTCAGCCCACCAGGGGGCGGGGCTGGCTGGCATGTGGTGCTGGGGGATTGAACTGCGGTCCCTGTGCTTTGCTAAGCTTGTTCTACGTAGGTGCTTTAGACCACTGAGCCATCTCACCAGCCCTCACTTGTTTTTTAATGTTTAAGATTTTTATTGGAACCGCATTGCATTTTCCTTATTTATTTTGAGCGGTACTGGGGATTGAACTCAGGACCTTGCGCTTGCCTGGCAAGCACTACTCCACTGAGCTATCTTCCCAGACCTAGTTTGTTCACTTTACATGCTCATTTCCCACAGAGGCTCTAGTGGTAAAGGGATATGGGAGAGCCTGAAGCTGAGCTTCTTGGTAGCTGTCCAGCCCCCACATCCATCCACGCCTACCAGCTCACACACAGTCACTGCTTCTCTTATCCAGCACAGCTCCCAGCAAATGAGGAGCCAGGGAGGCCACTCGGCCATTGCAGGTAGGAGACGCAGGTGGCAGGAATAGGTATGGTGGTCCTTACCCATGAGAGTCAACTTCCGGGGTCTCTGCTTGGATGTGATGACTTGCAAAGATGGGGCGATGGACTGAATGCGGATGATTGGCTGGTTGGGGTCATACGTTCCTGGTACAGCCAATTCAAGGTCCCGGCACATCAGAAGTTTTGGGGAAACATACTGCAGCTCTAAGGATGTGAGCTGTGAACAATTATCAAAGGGTTACATTTTCTGCCTCCAGGGAGTAATTTAAATGCAATTTATTTCTTAATGGATTGGTCTAAGTGGTTACTTGTTCCAAAATCTGCAGGAAGGAGTGGAACCACATTCTTAGAAGGAGAGGCAGGAAGTCCACAGGCAGTCACAGAAAGGACTGTGCTGGCAGCGAACAGGCCTGAGGTGTGAGGACCCTACCTGGGGCAGCTGCTTTGAGATCCGTCTGAACACATGGTAATATAGGTCCCAGGCTTGGGTGAGGTCCTTGACATTCCCCGACTTCATGTACTTCCGGCACCACTCCTGGGCCTCCATCAGATCTCGGCCATACGCCTGATGGTGAAAGCAGGGCAAATGTGCAAGTTGTCAATGTGGCCCCAAGGCAGAAGGCTCAGTAAGTGCCAGATCGAGGCCCTGGCAGGGAGCTGGCGAGCAAGAGTAGCTGTGCAGCTACCAGTCCTGCAGCTCCAGCCCGAGGCTGGCTGGGTAGGCAAGGGAAGGTGAGAGGAAGGACAAGACAATCTCTTGAGGAGTCCTTGACTTACTAGTAAAATTCAGGAGGGAGTCTGGAGTGTGGCTCAGTGTAAAGCACTTGCCTGGCTCATGCAAGGCCCTGGGTTCAAGTACCAGCACCATAAAACCAAACACCAAAACGATCAGTTACAAAACAAACAAACAAAAAAAAATAAATCAAACCAAAAGACAATTGAGGAGGGTTTATATAATTAGCATAAAGTACATTTGTGGTACTTTTAATTCCTGTGACCTCTGTTGGAGGGCGTTGTATTAAAGGCAGGAGAAAGACCAGAGGAAAGCAGGCCGATGAGGGTCCTGGCGATATCCTGTGTCTGCTTGTCTCCTACCTGATTAAAGGATGTTTCCTTCAGGGTCTGGGGGCCCCGTTCCATCATCGCATGCAGGGGCTCCAGCACCTCAAACATGCCTTTCACATTCCTCTCCCCAAAGTACAAACGAGACGCCTCTTCCAGGCCTTCATGCCACATCTCATGCCAGAGGATGGCCACGCGGATCAGTTCCTCGCTCACCTGGTTCCGGGAGAGGAGAACCAAGGATGAGCTATGGTCAGGAGGGACTCCTCTGGCGGCCAGAGGGAGCGTGAGGCTGTGTCACGAGGAAGAGACACAGTCTCCCGGGACGCCTGGCTGGGCCCACGCGGCCTCCAGACTCACCATCATGGCCTGCTGCACCAGGGTGTTACTGTGCTCACACATGTTCTTCAGAATCTTGTTGGCTGCATTGTGACGGGCTGTTGTGGTAGACTTGGAAGCCACCGTCAGGGGGTAGATGAGGGCCTGAAGCAAACATAGGAACGTTTGCAAAGGGCTATATGGAAGGACCCCACCCCGAGTTCCTGGAAAGATGGCAAAAGAGGTGGTGAGACCACATGGGTTTCCCAGGGAGGGAACACTCTATTTCAGAAGGGACTCCTTTTGGGAGACCCTGGGCCACTGGGACTGTGTCCTTGGGTGGACTGGAGCACCCAGCTCCCCATTCCTGTACCGTGTCTCTGAGGCTGCCCACCAAATCAAAGGCTAGACACGCATGTGCCCAGGCTGTCCACGTACCTGGGGGTGGTACCGACCAATGTCTGTCAGGAGCTGGTGAATGAGCCGTCCTACCAAGGGCCTGGGTGTATCTATTCTTGCGATGAGCTGAGGTATAACCTAGTATTCAAAAAGATACAGTAAACACCACATAAACAACT